TTTCTTATTTTGCTCTGGTTAGGATAGGTGGTTTTAGATGGCACTGGGTTTTCGCCCCATGGTGAGCTGCTCGATGATGAGTGCTTGCAGTGGGTTTCCCAGTGGTGTCTTGAACCCGCTTTCCCCTTTCCAGTTTCCTTAAGACCTGGACTTTGTATTTCCGTTATGTCATAGTAATGGAAAGGGGTAATGCCCGGTTCAAAAAAAAAGGCATGAACAGAGAAGGTTTAGGGAATCTTAACATGTCACGACAGTGGACATGATCGCCTGCTTGATGCAGGCGTGATGCAGAGGTGATGTAGTCGAGGTAGCAGTCCTCCTCAACGTCCTGATGCCCTCAAGACGCCACCGGCACTGCCCGGGGACAGCGGCGGCGGCAGGCTTAGGTCTTCCCGTCGCTGCAGCACTCCCCCTGATCGGATGGGGTGAGAGAATATCGGGAGAAGAGTAAACCTTACGTGAATTATGATCTCGCAGGTGGCCAGCTCTCTCCCGTATCCTTTTAATATGGCGCTGGCGACAGGGGACCCAAAACCTGAGTTGGTTTTTGAGCGCCCCCGATCAAGGCGCGTTAGTTCTGATCGAGGCTCACGTACGTTGGTACGTGGACCCCTTCACTTGTCGTTATCCCTTCATCCTTTTTTTTTCTTCAGTTAGACTAATAGATTTAACGGGCCTGTTTAAGCCATCAGATCAAAACCAACACTTCCTTGTACCGGAGCTTGAGCACCTTAAACCCTTTGTGGCACGCGATGTACTGCTGCCCAAAACCCCGCATGAAGGGGACATGGAAGGTGCTGCCGTTGAGGCGGTGGAACTTGTCGTCCACAGTGTTCTCCTCGCGGAAGGGCACGTGCCACCTGCCCTTGAAGTAGATGGCGTTGGCCACGACGATGTCGGTCTCAGCGGACACTTGCTCGTCGGCGAGGACCGAGTCGATGAGGTTGTCCGTCGCCGCCGCCGCCTACGCGTTGATCTGCTTCACGGCTTCTCCTGGCTGCAGCCAGCGTGATCAATTAGAAATTTAATAAGATTGTGTGCCAAACATGAACAAATGTTGAAGAGAGAGTTGTGGCTGCACCTGCACATGCACCGACCTTACCTTTCCGTGGAAATCGACGGCGCGGGTCTCGGCCTTGTAGTACTCGGCGGCGGCGGCGCGGAAGGCGGGGTTGAGCTTCCGGGTCTCGTCGTGCCATACGCCGAAGGCGAACGAGATGCGCGGCCCGCCCCTCCATGACCGGTCGGCGAGGGCGTGCTTCGACAAACCGCCGACGGTCTCGGCGATGCCCTCGTTGGACTCGGCGCCAAGGAGGGCGAGCAGCTCCTGGCGAGTCATTCATGCCCTGGGCGCCGGCGGACGTGAGCGCGAGTGCGGCGTAGATGGACAGCGGCGAGAAGACGAGGTTGCCGGCCGCGCTCGTCGAGGAGAGCGCCCTGATGAGGCGCAGGGCGAACGACGTCAGGCCGTGGCACGCGAGTGGGTTGGTGTTGGCCGTGGTCGGTGTAGCCTCCATCGTGATTGGTGAGAAGTGAGATCGAGGCACTGGGCGATGCTTATGTACTTGGCGTAGGATCGAAACCCCATGGGTGGTGATCAACTGTTATTTTTTGGGGTAGAATCCAACATGGAAACGCAACGGATCGATATAAAGCGGAATACGTTAGGGACTAGCCAAAATTTGACTTTGTGATGAGTTTATACGTCGGATCAATTTTCGGAGAACCAAAGGAAAAGAAGATTTTCTACCTATATATACATGCATGCAACATTTTCATTATTATTGTGCAAGACCACTCACATTATAGTCTCTCCCTCCCTCCTCCCTCGGACTATTGTGTTTTTCTCTTACACATCACATACAATCACATGCTATTCCCTACTAACCGAGTTCATTCAAATAAATAAATAGATGGCTAAGGTATTTTCAAATAAAAAGTTTGATTTACATTCTATTTGTACATTTGTGTTTTCTCTAACAAAATCATAAAACAAGACCAACATTGAATATATTTTGGAAATATTTTTGTTGACAACTAAATCAGAGCCTCCCCGCAAAAAAAAAAAACTAAATCAGAGCCGAAGACCAACATTGAAATAAATTTGACAACTAAAGTCACGACACTGTTGCGCTGTTGGACAGATCAGAGCCAAAGCCCACAGATCTGATGTCGTGCGGGCTCGTTGGCTGAGGACGAGGGCTATGTCTGGGGCTTGCTTGGCGGCGGCCTTCGGTAGTGACGGGGTTGTGTTCCCCGGGACTGACTGGGGACGTAGGTGTGGGCGCTTCCTACCATGCAGGCGTCAACCCAGATTCAGTGGCTGATGCCAGGCTAGGAGTGGAAGGAGGCACTTTCTACTCTTCCTCGCATGGTTGATGCACTCTTATGTGGATGATTGGTGGTCTCTCAGACATGGATGCCGGGGCGGCAACCCTAGATGGCGGTCCGCATGGTTGGCTCTCCGGCAGACAGCATGGCAGCCGTGGTGGCTATGCCTCTTGGCCGCGTGGGTCGTGAGGGGTGCAGTATCAGATGACTCAGGCTCGCTCCTTGTTGATGGCAGTGGCAACACCCGAATCTGGATCTGGAGGCTAGTGTTCGGCACGGTTGTCCTGGGCATCTCGTGGTAGCATGGGTGAGCTGCTAAGCGAAAGCTTTGCGCTTTGGCGGCAATGCCCACAGGTGTCGCTCTCCTCTTGGGGGCGTCGTTGTGGTTCTCCTCTCCGTGCTAGGATTCCGAGCGAAGTCCCTTGTCCATCTTGGTCTCGGTAGCGGCTACGCTTTGCTCAGTTTCCTAGTTTGGGGTGTTGTCGTGGTGGTTTGGTGTCCTACGGCGTACCGTGTCATTGTATTTAGGCCTTCCAATGCTATTTCTCGGCAACATAGTTGTGTGCTTTTATGTTGTCCGATTATCTCTCTATCTACTTTGTAGGAGAACTTCCTCACTGCCTTGTATCGTTTGACCGTGTATTTTGGTTTGTGCTTTATCTATGAAATGGGACGAAAGCGTATTTGAAGCCAGTGGCTAGGTTATTTTGGTATTGTTACTTTCTCCAAATGCATGCATGCAGCTGGAGATCATTGCAGTTAATTGGGTTATTATGGCTTGCGAAGCATGTTCTTCTCTGACATTACAACATGGCTGCACTTACGTTGGATGCCATCACGCGAAGTCCCAAGGAATCCGATTCTCCGGCGGCTCCGTTAATCTAGAGAAGCTTTAAGCAGTTGACCGTGTGATTACTCACCAACTAACACTTCTTGTCACTACATGGCCTCCCAACCTGGCTTGCACGTTCAAGAAATACTAAAAGATACCCCATTTTACTCCACTAGTGTATTAGTAGTACTAGGATATGGTAGCGGCATGAACACACCGGCGTGGCCAATGCACCAAGTCAACGGCTCTGCCCATAGGCACGAGACTAGACGCCCCTTTTGCAATCGGACTCCAACGATTGGCGTGTTTTGCAATCTGAATCCAATCTCCAATGGAGTTTGCGCGGTTAAATTCGACAGGGCCAGCACTCTCTCGGGTCGTCACCACGACCATCTACGAACCCCCATCCCCTCTCCGTAGCTCATAAAACTCCTACCCTGGGCACAAGCAGAGCAGCTCCTCGCGCCTTCCTCTGGCAGTGTCGAGCTCAAGGTTTGAACCAACATCTGTCTAGCTGCTTTAGCTTACCAAGTGTCAGCATTGTTCTAGTGATGATTGTCACTGCCCTTTCAATGATTTATCGGCATTGATTCTCAACTGCAGGTCAGGTGTGTGTGTGTGGCCATGAGTTTGTCGGGGAAGAAGTCTCGCGCCGTGGCCGGAGGAGCCCAGCAATGGCTCTCAACCATCGTTATGTTCGTGGTGGCTCTCTTGCTGACCCTGGGACCTACACATATTCAAGGTAAGGTGTTAGCCAGTTCACTCCCCTCTTTGATCTATGCACAACATCTTACAGACACGAATGAGATGTGTGCTCAACTGGACTCCACCGGTGTCATTTCCTAATGATCTCCAGCAATGGTAGTTCATTACACAAATTGAATGTACGTTCATTCTTCATTGTGTAGGTAGCTGTGATATCTTTCGTGGGAAGTGGGTTCCTGATTCTTCTGGGCCGCTGTACACGAGCAGCTCTTGCCCTCAGATCATACGCGCGGAGAACTGCCAGGCGAATGGGCGGCCGGACAAGGGATATGAGAACTGGAGATGGAAGCCCGAGCGGTGCGCTCTCCCGCGCTTCGATGCGAGGAGGTTCCTGAAGATGATGAGGGGCAAGACACTTGCTTTCGCTGGGGATTCTATCGCCCAGAACCAGATGGACTCTCTCCTTTGCATCCTATGGCAGGTGACCACACACTTCACTGATATACTAGTACTATTTTTTTTTGATATACTAGTACTATTACTACTGATGGTTTGATGTTGGCAGCGTAATTAGTCTACTCCATCCATTTGATGAAGAGTGTACATTTAGCTTTAAAATTTGTTCATAAAATAGTGCACTTCTATCTTCCTAATACACTTTAAAATAGAAAAAATGTTTCTCTCTCATCACACAGTAATCAAGACTAATAACATTCTATACATGGTTTCTTTAATTTCTACATGCACTTAGCTCATTGAATTTGGGTAATTAAAGAGGAGAGAGATGGTGGCTTGCACCTTTTCAATACATTTTTTTACTCTACTCCATAATTTGTCCTAAAATTTATATATATACACTTTTCACCGGACGGAGGGAGTAAGTAGGTTGTTTAAAAATGATGCATTCTGACTTGATGCTGCTTTGTTTTAGGGAAAACTTTGTTTTCGTCACTCTAGCTTTTGACCACTTTACTTATGCCACTCTAGAATTTGACATTTCACGTTTGCCACTCTTAGTTTTTGACAATACATCACAATTGCCATTCCGTGGCAAAAGCAATAATTTTAGAGTGGCAATTGCGATGCATTGTCGAAATCTAGAGTGGCAAAAGTGAAATGAAAAGTTATTGCTTTTGCCACTAATGACATTTGTGATGTATTGTCAAAAACTAAGAGTGGCAAAAGTGATATGTTAAAATCTAGAGTGGCATAAGCAAAGTAGGCAAAAGCTAGAGTGGCAAAAACAAAGTTTTCCCTTTGTTTTACGGATAATGGATGGACGTTTTGTCAAGATCTATAATTCCTGGGAATAATCATATTATAAAAAAATATATCCCCTTTATAAAAGAAATATTGCCTCCTGTTAGCTTGAAAAAAGTCTTATATTATGGGACAAAGGGAGTAGATGATTGTTCGTGCTTATCAATATTTTATATAAGAAAATAGCAGTCCTTTATTTTTCACGTGGAAGAATTTGGGACAAAGTCAAAATAAGCCTACCAATAAGTAGCAGGATAGTTATTGTGTTGAGCACTTGAGCCCGGAAAGCAAAGTAATTTCCCGAATTCCCTTTTGTCATTTCAACACAATATACACGTAGACGCTCGTATATACGCATATACACTCACCCGAGTCAGCACATTATCTTAAGATTGACGAAGTCACCACATGCGTCTCCTTAATCTACGGGAACGTCTTCTACCATAGAACAAACATCACTGGAAAGATTGAAATTAATTCAGAAAAATGTGAGCACTAGTGCCACGTCTACGACTTGAATCCCCGTGGGCTGGTTTCACCACATAGAAAGTTCCCTTTGCCGCACCTTTTTATTGGAAAGACAAGCTTCTATCGCCGCTTGATTACCTTGGTTTTTGTCTTGAACCGTTTATGGCAGTCCCAATGCACTATATCTAAAGCTAAATTTAATGACATTAAACAGTTAGTTAGATTTGTTTAGCGGAATAGATAGTTAGATATAGTAGTCCCAGTCGAAAATCCCTTTTGGAGGACGAGCTCCATGGAGGCCGGTTTTTGAAAAATTCAAAATTCATAATTTTACATTTCAAAAAATGCTGAAAAAATATACATGGAGGCATAATGCATAAGTGTGTAAATTTTCAAGATGAAATACTTTGAAATGAGGGTTGTGCAAAAAACAAATCTAGGGCTTTTTAATACATGATACTATTCATCCTCCTAGGTCATGAATTTGTCTTTTTTGTACATGTCGCATTTCAAGGTATTTCATCCTGAATTTTTACACACATACACATAACATCCTTGTTTACTTGTACAACCATTTTCAGTTTTTTTTAACTAAAAAGTTCAAATTTTGAATTTTCCAAAAAAACGGCCTCCATGGAGGCCGAGAGCCAAAAATGCCTCACTCGCACTATATGTTGTACCTAAAACAATCCTCATTTTAATATGTTTTGCGAGAGAAAAGTTATGAGATGTATTGAATTTGGTGCTAAGATCTATATCTAGATTAAGATAAAGTTGCTCTCTCTTTCCTCATTAAATAGGACGCCGTGTGAAATTTTAACTTATGAGAGCAATGCTAAGATACAAGCGTTGGAACTGCCCTATGAATGAGCCCTTGCGTGGTTATGCAGACAACCTTTCTATTTAGAATTGCTTCAAACTCTTCGTATTTTCTCAAAGTTAAGACCGTCACATTTTGGAAAACCTTGACTTACGATTGCGGCAAGATTTAAGAGAGGTAAGAGGATAGTTTAATCTAGCCGTTGATTAGTGAGGGCAATTTTGACCATACAAATATGATAAGTACAGCAATAAAATAAGGAGCAAATATTCTTGATTAATTTAGTGATCTCTCTCTCTCTCTCTCTCTCTCTCTCTCTCTCTCTCTCCAAACACAAGAGTTTCCCCTCTGCCAAAACATATACTTTTATTTATACTATATATGTTCCTTTAAAGTAAAATATGCACACATGTGTTTTTTTGCGAGATACATGTGTATATGCATCTTGAAGTATGGATTTTTTTCTTAATATTATGACATCCCCATGATCTTAGAATATAAATCATGTGACATATATATAATCACACAAACGCCACTTCATTGTTTAAGTATTATATTTTTTGTACTTATTTATACCAAATGATAATTTATATCTGCATGTGTTTCTAATGTCATAAATATAATTCTATAAATTAATTACATGGCTGATAACTAATAAATCAATTTATGTATTCAGAAAATCACATATGATATATTCATGGGCATTTCTTAGAAACAACAAACCATTTGTTTAGTAGAATGTCCATATTGAAGTGTGATTTCTTCATATTACGACATCCCACGGATTTAGAAAACAAAATTATATGATATATAATCACATCAATGCCACTTAAATATTCAAATATTATATTGTTTATACTTAATTATTCCTATCGATAGTATATATGTGTATCTATTTCTAATGTCAAGAATAGAGTTTATCTAAATTGCCTATGTTCTGAATATATCTATTTAAAAAACTCACAAATCAAGGGTTGTAAACAAAGATAACATGAACTGGAATTTATCTATCTTTTCTCATTTTAATATTTGTTTGTCTGCAATCTTTCCTTATTTGACTTCATGATTAAATAGCACTATAATTTATTCCCTTATTTGTTGAAGTGAAAAGTCCATATTAGCCCCCACGTAATCATTGACAACACCTTACACCACAAAGAGGCAAGAGTAAGATTAGCCATCAGAAAATAAAAAGTTAACGGGCATATCAATGTGGGAGCATCTTAAAAGAGCTCTATGATTACTATCACTAAGATTAAAACCGAACTCTGAATAGGCATTGTTGCTTCAAATTTCCTCCTTATGTATGTCATACTTATTTTTGTTCATATGTTTTTTCCCTATGATAACCGAAATGGCAAGACCAGCGTAAAGAATTGTGCGTACATGTAGCTTATTTGTTAGAGTGGGACAATATATGATTTATTATCCTTAAGCGTGATATTTCATTTTTAACAGGTGGACACCCCAATAAACCTTAGTGATCGTAGGATGAGCAAGTGGATCTTCAATTCAACCTCAACAACTATCATCCGCATCTGGTCAGCTTGGCTATTACACAATTCAAAAGAAGCTGTGGGAATTGCTCCCGAGGGTCTTAATAAGGTTTTCCTCGATGTCCCGGATAAGACTTTGATGGAGTTGCTTCCAAGTTTCGATGTGCTTGTCCTCTCTTCCGGACATTGGTTTGTCACACCATCAGCCTATATCCTGAATGGCAAGGTCGTTGGAGGGCAGGGCTGGTGGCCTCTTCAAGCAGGAAAGATGCAGATGAACAACATTGATGCTTTTGGTGCATCCACTGAGACTTTCCTAACTGCTGTGGCTACTAACCCGAATTTCAAAGGTATAGCTATTTTGAGAACATACTCTCCAGACCATTACGAACGTGGGGCATGGAATGTAGGTGGATCATGCACTGGGAAGGATAAGCCCTTGGATAAGGCGGTGAAGGATGGATTCATAGATGCAATGTATGGAAAACAAGTTGCGGCCTTCAAAAAGGTAGTCAAGAATTCTGGGAAACAGGGTTCCAAGTTGAAACTGATGAGCATCACAGAACCCTTTGCCTTAAGGGTTGATGGGCATCCTGGACCATACACAAATCTGGACCCAAACAAGAAGACTCAAAGAGGGCCGGATGGAAGGCCTCCATCTCAGGATTGTCTGCATTGGTGCATGCCAGGACCTATAGATACATGGAACGAGATGCTATTTGAGACCATACGAAGATAACTGGATGGAAATGAGATGTGAAGAAAGAAGTCTTGATGGTTATATTTGCCATCAGCTGACCTGATGTGTCCCATAGCATTTGAGACAGCGCCCATCTTGATGTTGTTTTACCGCAAATAATGATAGCTACATCCCTGGGGAGTGTATAGTAGAGAATCTTTTGGCATGATTGAGCATGTGATTTAGATTTTTCCAATTTAATCCAATTGATAAGAGAGGTTGATAGTTGATTTGTATCTTGTAAGGTTGTTGTACTTTTTGCATGACACGATTATTGATGGAGTTGGACATATAATATGATAAATTGCCAAAAAAATTGGAACATCCTCTGGAACCATCAGAGCACTAGCGGTCATGCATGAGAATAAAACTAGTGCAAAGAAGTGATTATTTGTGTTTTTCTAGTCTAAAATTACAATTTTTGTCGTCAAAACTAGCACAGTGGCCCTCCCTACGGCAAGGGTATCACCTTTAGTATGTCGAATATATTATATTTATTTGAATCTTGTGAAGACAGATTGTTCTCCTATTTATCTATATACTACAAAATAGACCACCTTTTGGCATTGATACATTGCCACAGGTGTAATTTTGACTCTATTTTGTGCATGATTTGCTAGGAAATAACAACATTGAGTAACAATTTTTTACAAAAAATTGTCTAATGATATACAGTTACACATGAGGTTGTGAGGACATAAACCGAACCAACTTGAATCTTGTAGGCTTGCCTGCATGGAATGTTCTAATGTATATGCATATGCAACGGCCCAATACCTCAAATGTTAGTGATTTTGACACCTATTAAAGTGGCTCACAACGGCCCCGATATCTCGGATCTCATATTTGCCGATGACAATCACTTTTTCTTCAAGGCGACTATTGGACAAACAATTGTGGTGCAACAAGCCCTTGACTTGTTCCTGATGGAGATATGCACTAAAGACAATAATAACCATGTCATTATTTATTTCCATGTTTATAATGAATATTTATATTCTATGCTATGACTGCTATAGCTCTCAAACCTGTGCAAACCAAGAGGTTCATAGAAAAACTCATATACACGTGTGACAGAGTCGATTCCGGCAGATCTCAAATAAGGGTTCCCAAACTAGTAGCCTAGATGTGATGGTAACATGAACAAGGGATTTTAACCTTGTTGGGCTCTTCTAGGAGATAAAAACCCTACATCGTGCCTATGTTGTATTGATTTAGGATGAAGTATAATGTACAGGTTGATCTACCACGAGATCGTTGTGTGTCGTCTACCTTAAACAAAAAAGATGGTTGACAAGAGGGAAATTTCAGGTCCAACCGTCAGAATAGTTTCCATCCCGACCAAGATGCATCGTCCCGGTCTCGATTCCGCGCGCCTAATTTCTGGCGGCCGGACAGGCCCGATTCATAGCAATTCTAGTTGATTTGGGCGGGCTGGCATGAGCTCCGCGTGCTGCTCCTTGGACGGACGGCGAGATGCCGCTGCTGCCGCGGCTGTTCGTGGACGGGAGGTACGTCGGCATCGCTGAAGAGGTGGTGGTGCTGCACAAGAAGTCGCGGTTCTGGCCGATGCTTCACAACGCGCGCGAGGCAGCCTGCGTTGTGTGCGGCAGCGCCTGGTTCATTGTGTGCGGCAACGGAATGTGTGGTGTGCGGCGGCCCAAGCTGCCTCCCATCCTGACCTGCCCGGGGCCGTCGACCCCAAGTACGGCGACTCGCTCAGGGTCACGCTCCAGTCTTCCTGATTCAATCTACACCATGTATGCAATGGTTGATGATGATCTGTTCCGCTTGGGATTTAGACAGACGCGCACGCGCGTGAGAGGAAAAAAAAGGAGACCACGGGAAATATTTGATTTTGCGGTAAATTTTTGCAGGATCTGTTCGGCCGCACCCCGGACGGTACAGAAAAACAGGTTTTAGTTTTTCCTTATATAGTGATTTCCCGTACCGTGATATAAGGATTTGCTAGACATGCTCTAGCACACGAGTAACGATGAATGAAGTGACATGTCATTTCTTCATCCGAAGCTAACATGAATTTTAATAGGAATACAAACTTCACGAGGTAACACCACAACTCCGCAAGAATCCTCACAACAATGAGGTCAATGACTAGAAGCTACTGTTTGCACTGGCCAGCAGCAGGTTCGCGGGCCGTGCAGCTGGCACGACGAGTGCCACAAGCCGAGCATGGCCCGGCGCTCAAGTACCACGGGCGCCACGAGCCAGCCCAAGCACGGCGCCTCCTGACGACTCGAGAGACCGCTTCATGGCGGGACGCCTCCGCAGCCTTCCGCTTCTTCTTCTTCCCGAGGAAGACGGCGGTGAGCACCGTCTTGGATCGCAGCCACGCCCTCAGTATTCCCAAGCACTACACAACCGCATTATCTGAACTACGGTCTACGAATCCAATTTCGGCTAAAAGTTTTGACAATTAACAAGTCATTTGTTACCTCTGCGTGGCCAAGCTGCACGGTCTTCTGTTTTCTGGATGCACTTTTTTTTTTTGAGGGTCTGGATGCACTTTTTGGACGGTGTAGTTATTCTCTTTGGGTGTATATATATATATAAGTACAGCACATGCGAAGAGAAGCAGAATTCATGGGCAATCTTCTGCGGCGATTTTTGGGGAATTGATTTACCCCAGCACGCGTGGTGAGTTTATTAGCGCAATGCTCGATGCCCATGCATACGCATGATCATCGTGTGGAACTTGGGAAAGATGAAATATTGGAAAGACCAAAAGACCACAGCTGCATTAACTGCGTAAAAAAGATGGAAGAGAAGCTAGAGAGATGGAGGGTGAGAGTGGATTTTTGGAACATGGGTGCATTGGAGGACTTTATTTTAAATAGCTTAAAAATCACACTGAAAACTTCAAAAAATCCCGAAAAGAATTCTACAAGATCATATGGAATTATGGATCGCTATTACACGTGTAAAGTTTGGTGATGAAACAAGTAAACATGTGAGCTATACAAAAATGACAAAATGGCCATTTCTAAATTGTGAATAATACATGCACTACTCATCTTTCCAAAATAACGGTTTTGTCATTTATGTGTAACTCACATGGTTACTTATCTCATCATCAAAATTTGCACATGTGTAACATACATCCATATGAACATGTGGAATTATTTTTGGAAGTTTTGAAACTTCAAAAATACTGTTGTCACACTATTCAAAATATAGGTGTTCCATGCACCCGTTCACCAAAGTGACATTTTAGATGGAGCGTGGGTCTTGCGTTCGCTCTCAGAAGCAGGCCACCGGATCACCGCGTTGGGATTGATTTTGAAAAAAACAATATTCGCGCCGAATGTGCCTCTGAAGTCTGAACCGATCCAAAGTATTGTGCGACACAATACTTTTATTTACCTGTATAATTATTAAATGTGCAAAGATATATAACCCAACACAAGCCGAATCTGAGAGAACTGGGATGAAACAGAGTGGCGCTAAATAACTACACAATGCTAATGTGGGAATTCATTGTATTACGCCTATGGGCCTGCCCCATCTTACCGATATGAGCGGCGGACTGTTAAACGATACGCGGGCGATGGACAAGGGTGCGGTGCTCACCTCTAGTGCACTGGGCAGGCGTTGGCGAGGAGGCACATCACGGGAGCGGCTGGGTTGGACACTGTCCCACGCGGTGTTCTTGTGTAATTTGGAGTCTAATTCTATTACACCAATTAGACCGAGATTAGAGCCCGTCTAATCCAGAGCCTAATCCTTTAGGACAATTAGACCGGGGCGCCCCTATCTCGCGTTCAGCGAGAGGGAAGGAGCCCTCGCAGAAGCGGAGACTGAGATGGAACGGCCAAGGAGCGCCGGATGCCACAACATTCTTTTTCTGTTTTCTCTTTTTGATTTTTGCTTAACTTTCATCGTTTGTTTATACTTTAAAATATTTCTAATATATATTGCAAAAAACACTTTACATAATAATTTGAAAAATATTGAACAAGTATCTGAAAAATGTTAATCTCGCATCGGGAATTTTTTGAACGTGTATAGAAAAGTTGTTGATCATGTATTAAAATTTAAAAATGATGATTTTTATCGTGTATATAAAAATGTTAATCAAGAATTAAAAAAAAGCATGTTGCACAACTATTTGAAAAATGTTAATCAAACATTTGGGAAATGTTAAATATGTATAGAAAAATTGTTGACCATGTATTTAAAAATTTTAATATTGCATTTGAAAAATCTTAGTCAAACATTTTAAAAATATTACATGTGCATAGAAAAATGTTAACCATGTGTTAAAAAATGTTAAGCTTATATTTAAAAAATGTTGAAAATGTGTATAGAAAACATATTGGCCATGTATTAAAAAATGCTAATCTTGTATTCAAAAAATGTTAAACAAGCATTTGAAAATTGTTAATCAAGCATTTGAAAATGTTTAAAATGTGTATATAAAACATGTCGACCATGTATTAAAAAATTTGGTAAACTTGTATTTGAAAAATGTTAAACCTGTTGTTCATGAAGTTGGATCAGGACACCCTTGACAACTCCCGCTTATTCATGAAGTTCTCGAGTGAACCTTTGTTTATGAATACCATTCCCTTTGCTTTGTCATATTGTTGCAAAACCCGAGTTGAGATTACCAGTATCCCCATGATCAACACTTTGATCAGTATACCGGTTATCGTCATTACCGGCTTTGTTCTATCTACTTGTATTCGTATCCGCCGGTATCTCGTGATCATAATCACAAGTGTCCGGCTAGACGATAATGATACTATAATACCAAACGAGTCCAAAGAGGATCTCCCCAAAGGATAATATCGCAGTCTTGAACTACCGACACTAAGGCATTTATACACACGGTTAGGCACCTTAGACTTCATGGGGAATATGAGTGCAATTGATGCGCCGTTCAGTTCATGGGGAACTTGCGAAGATTTATTGCTTGCCGTCATTTTTGGGCTTTACTCGATGCGCAGCAGTGCGTATGCTAGCTCATTGGGAAGATA